TGTGAATGTGTGAATGTGTGAATGTGTGAATGAGTGAATGTGTGAATGTGTGAATGTGTGAATGTGTGAATGTGTGAATGTGTGAATGTGTGAATGTGTGAATGTGTGAATGTGTGAATGTGTGAATGTGTGAATGTGTGAATGTGTGAATGTGTGAATGTGTGAATGTGTGAATGTGTGAATGTGTGAATGTGTGAATGTGTGAATGTGTGAATGTGTGAATGTGTGAATGTGTGAATGTGTGAATGTGTGAATGTGTGAATGTGTGTATGTGTGAATGTGTGAATGTGTGAATGTGTGAATGTGTGAATGTGTGAATGTGTGAATGTGTGAATGTGTGAATGTGTGAATGTGTGAATGTGTGAATGTGTGAATGTGTGAGTGTGTGAGTGTGTGAGTGTGTGAGTGTGTGAGTGTGTGAGTGTGTGAGTGTGTGAGTGTGTGAGTGTGTGAGTGTGTGAGTGTGAGAGTGTGAGAGTGTGAGAGTGTGAGAGTGTGAGAGTGTGAGAGTGTGAGTGTGTGTGTGTGTGTGTGTGTGTGTGTGTGTGTGTGTGTGTGTGTGTGTGTGTGTGTGTGTGTGTGTGTGTGTGTGTGTGTGTGTGTGTGTGTGTGTGTGTGTGTGTGTGTGTGTGTGTGTGTGTGTGTGTGTGTGTGTGTGAGTGTTTGTGTGTGTGTGTGTGTGTGTGTGTGTGTGTGTGTGTGTGTGTGTGTGTGTGTGTGTGTTGTGTGTGTGTGTGTGTGTGTGTGTGTGTGTGTGTGTGTGTGTGTGTGTGTGTGTGTGTGTGTGTGTGTGTGTGTGTGTGTGTGTGTGTGTGTGTGTGTGTGTGTGTGTGTGTGTGTGTGTGTGTGTGTGTGTGTGTGTGTGTGTGTGTGTGTTTTTTTGCGCGCTTGTGTGGTTGTGTGTTTGTGTGTTTCTCGGTTTGTGCGTTTTTGTGCGTCTGCGTTCTTGTGTGTTTGCGTGTGTATGTGTGTGTGTGTGTGGGTGGGTGGGTGGGTGGGTAGGTGGATGGGTGGGTGGGTGGGTGGGGGGGGGGGGCAGGGGGGGGTGCTTGTCTGCTTGAGTGTGTGTGTGCTTATGCGTCTCTGCGTCTCTGTGTCTCTTTGGCTCTGTGTGTTTGTGTTTGCGCGTGTGCGTTTAGAAAAGCAATGTCTGCCCCTTCCAGTTCTTCCGCACCTGGCTGTTGGACTTCTTGCAGGCGAAGCTGCCCCGCTTCAATTGGGTGCTGCTGCGGCGCACTCGCTTCAAGTCCCCGCCTGACGCGACTGGGGGTCTTTGCCTGCTACCTGTTTTGGGTTGGAACGCCTTGCAAGCAGTGCTGCCTTCATCCCCTGAAGCGCTAAAAACGATTCAGGGTGCAGGATTCCCAGCAGCCCGCCTTGCTCCACCTCACTGGCCAAGGCCCTCCACATGCTCTCGAAGGATGGCATCGTTCTATTCCGCTCCATGTTCAAGAGCACACCCTTGGTGCACGGGGTGAGACGGAACCAGGTGCTTGCAACAAACCACACAGTCTTGCTGCCGTGCAGAGTGGTCGTGGAGTCTACGGGTCCGCGGCCTCGTGGGCCGCTTTCATTCAAACACCATGACCACCGTGCCTGGCAAGAAACAAAATGATGACCACTATCAGCTTTGCTAAGGCACGTGATCTTGCACGTGATTGCCAGACAGCGTCGGAATCGACGCACTGACGGGGTCCAGCAGCAGCAGGAGGCGATTATTCATGTCGTGCTGCATGTCATGCACGTCCAAGTCATTCGCATCCGCGCCAAATGGGTTCTCCAACCTCGCCGGAAGGTGAGGCATTGTATCCTATGAACGGGGGATTGACAAACTTGCCTCCAAATTCCGGCAGTGTTTCTGGGGTTTAGCCTGGCGTCATGGAGTTCCAAAGGTACTGACTCCAGGGATGCTTGCAAGGCATGCCTTTCTCAAGCCGATCCAACCCAACCAAGGCATCCTTTGCAATGGGCAATGGGGCTGCCATCAATGCAAACCTGGCTAGGGGGCGAAGAGAAGAAGCCTAAGCCTTGAGAGCCGTGGGGCTCAATGGAGATTGAATGCAGGCCCCAAAGGATAAAGACCGTCACGAAGGTAAAAATACCTGAGCCGGGACTGAGCTGTGCGGCTGACTTCAACACTGTCGTGCAACAAATTCTTGAAGACCCTGAAACTGCAAAGCATCAAGGCTAGCATTAGTTATGGTGCAGGAAACGGTCGGACTTTGCGTGCCCTGGGTCATGACGAACGGAGTCAGGAGCCAATGCATTACCAATAGCAGCAGCGTCGCCTGCGAGTACGGGAAGGGCACAGAGATCCTTGCTATCTTCAAGCAGTCGTGAAATTTCACCATGCCAGCGGCCAGCTCGCTGTAGGCTCGAGTGAGAATGGGCGATGGCGCAGACATAATGCCACACTCGATGCTGGTGACCACAATGGACTGGATCCAGTGAAATACCAACTCCACCTTGCACTCGGCCTTCTTCAAGTGCCGCAAGGAAGGCACGTCTATACCCGTGCCATCAATAACACCTTAGCACCCACAGACCGCCCCAGGATGTGACAGCAGCAACCGCCGTGTCATGGCAGGCCCGTGCTCCGGCAGACGTCCAACATGCTAGACCTTCTTGCGCAACGCTCTCCCATGTTTATCTAGTTCCAGGTCACGAGACAGTGCCACTCCAACTGGCAAAGCGCCATACAACAAAGGCACGCAAGCGATATGCCCAGCGTTCTTCATCCTTGTCATCGTCATCCTCCAGCTCTGCAAGGCTAAGAGCATGCAGCATGCCTTAGCTCCCGCCTATGCACCCAGAACAAGGCCTTTCCACCGCAAAGGCCAAGACCGTCAAGACCCAATGCATTATTTCATCCCTTGGTTTAGGAAATTTCTTGGCGTGGCCCTGGACGAGAGGTTGCGCTCTTCGAGGCCGCTTCCAGTGTCAGTTTTTGCTTGGTTTGAGCGTCGTGAGTGCTTTAAGCTGCTGAAGAGGCGGACGACGATCTGGCGGAACTCCCAGAGAGCTTGTGGGTCAGCCTTGGAAGTCCTGAGGCGGACGCTCGTGAGGCAACATGGTGCGGACCCTTCCCTGCAACGGCAAAACATGTAAAAAACTGATGCGACGAGCTAGCTCGGGGGTCAAGGTGAGCATGTGATGGCTGGACCACCTGGACCAACCGTTTGGCTGACTCAGTTCAGCAGCTCCTGGTGAAGGACACAATGCTGCTGGCTGCATCGAACCAATCTCCGCGCATTTGGTGCGTCAGTGTGCTACCATCCCAGAAACGGTTGTAGGCTTGCCCCGTTCTGAAGACCACCAGAATCCTCAGGAATCGCCTCTCAATCTTGCAGCCCACGGCCCCATATTGGCTACAAAGCCTGTTTGAACGCTGCTGCAGGGAAGGAAATGGAACTTGGGTTGTTCTATGTGGTAAGCATTGGCCAATCTGACTGCAATAGGCCCCGCTGAGTAGCTTCTACTCGCAAGCTGCTGCCAGCATGAAACCTCCTTCTTACATAAAGAGCTTGAAGGCTCCAGAAAATGGATCAAATGGAAAAAACACCAAGTGGAAAGGGCCATTGCATGCAAAACGCCCCAGGAGAGTGGAGAATGCTTGGTACACAGTCGCGTCCATCTCCGCGCTTTCCAACACCTCGCACACGATGTCCCATCCTTGCACCTGCGCATACTTGAGCAGAAATGCCACCTCAGATGCAGACTGCAGCGCATGCAGCCACAAACATGGCAGATCAGCTGCAGAGGCCTGGCCCGCGATTATAGCAATGCCCGCAAGCCACAGCTGACGTTTGTGTCTTCAGCTGTTAATCGAATGCAGCCTGGGCTCCGCAGCGCAGGGCAGCGCAACTTTCGTTGCGAAAGGAAAGACGCTGCCGTTCAAATGGAAAAGTGCAGAGAGACTCACTTGACTTCGTAGGCGGTGAATCCGCGCAAAAGCCAAGACCATGGATGCATGAGGCTACTTGCAAACCTTCAACTAAACCAGCACAGCGATAGGGCGCACACAAGAAGGAAAGTACGATGCAGCGGCCTTACATGCTGAAGGCGTGGCATCATGGGGCTTGAAGGGTTCCATCTTTGGATGCACGCTGTGGAGATTCATGGTCTGAAGCACTACACGAGTTTAAGACTTGTTTGACGGGTCACGCCTGCAGCTTGTGACTGTGCCTGTGGGCCCCTGAAGCCATCATTGGCAACGGCGGATTGGCATGCTTTGAACCAACTTGCCACATTCAACAGTGGCCTCGTTAGTATTGCTTCAGCCCTTGTTCGGGTTGGCTGCAGTGGCTCGCACTCCCTCAACATGGTTTTGCAATAATCGAGTGGAGCTACGCAGCTACGAGGCCTCTGAAGTTGGCATGCTTCAGTCGTCAAGTCAAGTGCCTCGAGGGTTGCCAGCCCATGAAAATCTTGCTCGCCCAGCGACTGATTGGACTGTCCTTTTTGGGCGGGCACCGCGTGGCAACTGTCATCCAGTCCTCGGAATTCCAATGTGCGAACTCGTCGAGGGCCCAACCTTGGAGCAGGTTTCGCATGCATGCCCCACGCAAATGAGCCACGTCCGGTCAGGAATTACGACGGGGTGCTGGCCACCTGCAGTGGCTGCAATGCGTGCGTCAGCAGCCAAAGCAGCCGCGGTGACCCCGGCTTCAAGGTGTTGTCGAAGACCAGCTGAGTGGCCCCCGCCCAAGGCATCAGCAGCTCGTGGCCCTCGAGCAGCTGCAGGTCGCTGTGGAAGCGCGTGCCGCGGTGGTCCATGAAGACAAGTCCAAGACGATCCCCGAACTCCTCGGCGAGGCGGGGGATGAGGTCGGATGAGTGTCCCAGCCACACTTCGCTGGAGAGACCTGCCAGCATCAGGCAGTGCCTTGTGAACAAGCCGTGGATGGGGTCCACCTCGATGCTCAAAGCCGCTTCTCCAGTCAGGAAGCCTGTGTCAGAAAGATCCGGGAGTCCGCTTTTGGAATGCCAGCATGTCAAAGAGGCAAACAAAGAAACGCAGGATGTGCATGTCTGTACTTTCTTGCCTCTAGTCATGGGAAACTTTCAAGCTGCGCTCGTTCGGGCTAGGTTCCATGGCAAGTCATGGCATTTATATCCTGATTTGGAAGGTGCAAGGAATCACCCGCCCAGAACTGCACAACATCCGCAACTATTCTGCTTGAGGAAAATTCGGAGCTTTGCGCCGTTTCACAAGAACGAGCGCATATGGCATTGATTCCCATATCTGGCTGATTCCTATGCAACAAACAGTCTAGGAAAAGCCCATGCAAATTCCTCGCTTCCACAGCATGCCCACACAAGCCTTCGAGGGAGGCTTTAAGCGGTCAGCAGAAGGGAGCGAGCAGAAGCGAGCGAGAAATGGGAGCCTTTCACTCTTTCACCATCTTTCACCCCTTCCCTGCCACGGGCGCACGGGTCATGCTCATCCCGCACCTCGAAACGGCACTCCCGGCACGGACTGAGCCAGGGCGCGGCCCAGGCGTAGCGCCGTGTAGCCCACGAAGCTGCCGAGTTCCAAGGCCACCCCACCAGGGAAGCGCGCTAGCACCGCCTCAAGAAACCATGAAACCAGCGGGTGAAACCGCCTACTATGTATTTTCTTGACATTGAGGAAATTGAGGATGCTAGATAGGACGTGAGTCTGCTGAGGTATGGCAGCCAGTGACCCCCCAAACAAAAACAAAAGCCTAGCCACAACCGGCGAGGAATAGTTGAGTTGTCTGGGCTGGTGGAAAGGAAGGTTTGGCCAATGGAGAACAAGTCAAGTGTAACGAACTGGTCCATTCTAGGGCTCTCCTGCATTTGGAGCCTGTCCTCACAGTGCACCCTGGATGTTTCAGATTAGGCACCGTAGACGGGCGGTTCTCTCTTTCAGCTTCCTTGCGAGGGCCGATCTCTGACAAATCCAAAGAGCGGCAAAGGGGCAACATGGGGCAACCCATGCTCTGTGCTGTTCTGTGCTGCTCGGTGCTGCTCGGTGCTGCTCTGTGCCTCCAGGAGATGTGCTTTCCCATCGCCGGCGATCTTTAGCCATTGTCCGACTCCCGCGCCAAAGCACTCCTGGCAAGACTGCCAATGCTGCTGTGATGGGCCCCGGGCCTAAAAAAGCTAAACCTTCCTAAGATAGGTCCGCCTTGAAATTGACAAACCACAAGCCTTAGATCCGGGGGCAGCAACATTAGTAGAAAAAGACTTGCAGGTCTCCATGGTGCCCATCATGGCGTCGGCGGTGCTGGCATTGGTCTCTAAGGCTTCCAGTAGCTTCGCCAACTTCCGGTAGTTCGCCGAGGGCAGGGATGGCCGAGGCGGGTGAGCGCAGCCCACCAACTTCAGGAGCGCAGGAGGCAGCGGCAGACTTCCACCTAGCCAGCAGAAGAGCCTCTGCTCTTGCTCCTCCACCTTGTTCCACTCGGACATCATCAAGCAATATGAGTAGCTCATCATGTCCAAAGAAGAGACCGGCAAACCGTCTAAACATGGCCAAATCCTGGTCCAATAGGTCAAACGCCACCATGACCAGATCGTGGCAGCAGCACTTTGCGATGACAAGCAACGAAGCTGAGAACTCTTTTGCTGCAATTCCTCCGCGGCCACATTCTTTCATGCCTGGGTCGATGGAACGACTGATCCTGGCAACTGAAGACGCATCAGGACAACTAGAGTGCGGCAATCAGCCCAAAACAACCTGGCCCATTTCAACCTTCAAAGCGCTGAGCTTCCCAAAATAACCCCCAAAATAAAGACACTCCCACCAACGGCAAAGCGCGGAACATCCTGGACGGATTCATGCAAGGCTGTTGGCATGCCATTGCTTTGCGGTAAGTGCCATGATGCGACGCTGTTACCCTGTGACGCTTCGTCGCTGATTTGCCAGTTTTGCTTAGGGCGTTGGCTGCTTACGCAATAGATGCCTCGTGCGTTGCTGGGACCGCTTGAGCTGTAAGCCATCTGCAGCTGCTGGCGCTGCTTGTGACGGCCTCAACTGCAAACGATCTGCAAGGCACTAATGGCGACGTCGCGGTGAATACTCGAAGGGCAGAATCATTGGATCCAGCCACGCCTTTGTGCTGCAAGTATCTGTGGCTTAGGCGCAGCCCTGGAGGTGGCGGACAGCGACGCAAGAGGTGACAGCAGCACCAAAAAGCGAAAGCCCTTAGCACATTGTGTCTAACGTGAAGTTGGAATTGTTCGACGCGAAAACTCAGCGGCACTTGTGTCAAGGGACTCGTGGGCGGCGGGTGGCTGAATCTGGCAGTGCTGCCTAAGCCTAAGCCCTATGGTCATGAATGCAATGAGCACCAAAAAGTGGAAGAAGCCCGACAGGAGCCAAAAAGCCAATGAAGGAAGGGCCTGAACGCTGTTGAGAGGTGATCCACTTACACGCTGGACAGCCCAAGCCAAAATTGCCGGCTGTGGCCACGCGACAGCTGCGCGCGCCAAGGCCCACAGTGCGTTGGCAGCGGCCTGCACGTCTGCCTCTTGGCACAGCAGCGCCTGGGCCAAGGAAGTCAGCAGAGTCGATGTGGCGCGGGACGCCTCTGCAGAAGCCCAGGCGCTGTTCGAGAGCTCCATGGCCTTGGCGAGAGGGCAAGCTCTTGGCCGAAATTGCAACCCAGATTCATTGTATTTCCACGGGACTGAAGAAGACCCCCTGTCCAAATATCACAACTCGTTTCCTTCCAATGTGTTTCCTTGTGGTCGGTTTCGTTCATGAGCCCGTGCCCGCTTTGGGCTGCCTTGAGCCCCGGCAGCAGCGCCAAGCACTCCGCCGAGGTGGCACCGAAGGGGGGCCTGCCGTCGGAGCTGAACTGGGTGGAGGCCCGGGCCGCATTGCTGGGGTTCTGCGGGTCGAAGCGCGGCATTTTGCTGAGGCACTCGTGCGCGGCGGCCTCCAGCAGCGGTGGGCGCAGAAGCCCCGGCCGGGCAAGCGCCCGCACCCTGTTGCTCGGGTCCTGAGGCACGGGCTCTGGAAGGAGCTTCTCGGCTCCGCGGGCAGCAGCCTGCATAGCAGTTCACTCAGCCTTGCTTTGCATGAAGCAAATCTAGATCATTTGTCGGAGCTGCATCAGTCAAGGGCAGCCACGACGCTTGACATCCAAAATGGCACTGAGTTCCCCCTGACACTCCTCTACACCTTACATCCCAAGGCGCCTCAAATCTTTAACATGGCGCTCAGAGTGGGTACACCCCAAACCCTAGAACTCAAGCCTAAACCCTAAAACCCTAATTCCAATCTTGAAATGTGTGCCCTGACTTTCGGTGACATCATTCTCGTTTCGCGCTTCTGTTCTTGGTTTAAATGCGGCGCTTATATTCCAAGTCAGACCTGTTCAATTTCAGCTTCTGTGGTTTTGCCCAACGCCCAACCTGCAAGAGTGGCAGATCGTTGGTCGCGAAGGTTGTGAAAGATTGTGCCAGGTTGGTCAAGTTCTGCGGGATGCATTCAGGCACCCGGTCGCGCGCGGCAAAAGAAATTGCTCTCATCAGTGGCGGGCTCACCTGGATGGCACACCAGCAGCGTAACAGTCACAGAAAGAACAGCCATAAAACGTCTTGATGACCTAACTTACCTTCACTTCGGAATCTCAAAACTGAAAACCGCCTGAAAACCACCAGCCCCTTACATCATGTCGAGGCGCCAAGCACATGCTGCCCATTCCCCACGCCGTGTTGGCCAAGTTTTGGGGGTTGAACTCTGGCAAGCGCTAAAGAACTGCTGCTCCGGTAGCACCTCAGCATGTCAACTAGGCAGGAACCGAAGCAAGAAGCAACAAATGTTTTTTTGAGCCCTGATAGGTTTCCCTTCGTTTGCACCATGGGGTCAGTATCCAGCATATCTCACCTTGCTGCACATATGTGGCATGACTTTGCTGACTCGGCCCTGGCACCCATCGAAGCTGCGCTGGACACCTCCGCAACTGCGAAGCCCCACGCTGCGTTGCTCGGGCCCTGTGCGTCAAGGTCTGGCAGCGCCCGCGATGCTGCGTGCACAGTCCCATCCAGGGCTGCCATGCGGCGCGGGTCTGAGGGCAGGGAAATGTTATAATGACACTGGCTCCAAAAGCAAAAGCTGGTTTGCCGCTCTGCCGACGTTCAAAAACAGAGCAGCACAAGACAAGCAGCCCGGATGATTTGTCAATGAGGTGGGAAGGCCAGTTACCATGACCCTTCAGCCATCATGACCGTTCAGCCATGGGATTAAGGGCGAGGACCATATGAGAGTTGGTTAGATTCAAGAGTCATGCTCCGGAGGCCTGCGAGACATGTGGGACGACAAGTGACTTGATTGGAACAGTATAAGGGCAGTGCTGGTACGTTGCAAGGTACTTGCCTCGCACGACTGGTACGGTACAAGGGTATGACTGGTAGGGCACAAGAGTGTGACTAATACAGGAGTGCTGGGCCAACCATGCTGGCATACAATGCCCAAGATTGTGCCTGCACAAATGCACCCAGTCGACTGCACCTTGTCCAAGTGCTAGTTGTGCCAATTTTTGATGTGCACTTACATTGCTTGCTTTGGCACCTGCGCCGAACCAGTCATGCCCTCGTACCACAAGCCGCACCCTTGTACTGTTCCTGTCGTACCCTTGCACTGTGCCAGTCGTACCCCCTGACGATACCCTCAACCCTACCATCAGTACCCCTTCACTCTTCACCATTCCTGTTGTACCCCTGACTGTACTGACTGCGAAGGAACGCCTGCCTGACATAGCCACGGCCCAAACAGTGTTGGCAGTTGCCCGCGCATCGAGAGCTGCCAATTGGGCCAGGCCCTGCAGCAGGAAAGCCTCGGACGTGCTGTCCTTGTAACGAAGCTTTGCAAAAGACCAAGCCATGTTGGCCGCAAACTGCACGTCGACAAGGCCGCCAGACAGTTGGCGCTCCCCTTCTCCTGCTATAGCTCCCATCAGCTCCTCATTCTTGCTCGCGACGATTGCAGATCTCTGGGCTGCATTAGACAGGTTCTGTGCCTGGAGCTCAGAAATGCGTGCTATGACTTGCGGCGCGGCAGCCCCCAGCCACTTCTCGCCTGCGGCAACAAGCTTCGCCAAAGCCCAAGAGATGTTGGCCATAGCCTGGGGGTTCGGCTCCAGTGCCAAAGCTTGCTGCACCAGCAAAGTAACTAAAACATCGCCACGCAGCTCCAACTTGGCAGTGGCCCAAGCAAGGCTGGATGTGGCCTGCAGGGCGGGCGGCCCAGTGCTCTCAGGGCACAACAGCCGGCGGCCGGCCGCCGCCGCCAAAGCAAACGCTGGAGCGTCGTGCTTCTCCACGGAGGCGAGCCACCACATCGTAGTTGCAACGTCTCGAAGGGTCATGTCAGCAGCAGCTTCTAGATCTTCCAGTGCAAAGAGCTGGCTGGCAAGAAAATCCCAGGGCGGGGTGTCTGCCACGGCAAGCGTCGCCTCAGCTGCGCAACCAACCCCACTTCGACCAGCATTGACTAGGACCACGGTTTGCATCCCGCGTGGAGCGAAACAGAATTGGCTTTGGCGAGCTCGAAAGGCCACGTGTTTTGCGTGGATAAAGCCAAATTGCTCGCAACGAGCTTATTTCTACCCTCCTGACACGATTGTCTTTGAATTGACCCGTCTAAACAAGCATATGGCTTCTGGAAAACTACAAGACGGAATTAGGCACTGGTTTTTCACACTCAAGCAGCTCACGGCAAAGACCCAAAATCGGTCAAAATATCGCGAGGCCACGGGCTATTGGGGAAGGAAGTGATGTGTTCGCACATCAACGAAAGCTTTCTCTCACCAGAGAAAGCCTCCAACTAAGTGGAATCGATGTGACTCAGCGACTTGATTGAGCTTGCTTGCCAGTTTGGCTGGCATCTGAGCAGTGCTGGTCTACCATGTCGCTGGCGTGTGCACAGAGCACAGCAGGTGCACTTGGGCCGCCGTTGCCATTTGAGTCAAAATCAAAACCCGGCACAAAAATGGGGCACCTAGAACCGCACAAAGAACTAAGAAGGCGGCCGCGGCTATTTATGGTTGGGATCGTCCCCTACTAACCTTCATCTACCCAGTTGCGGCTCACTTGGCTGGCGTGCGTGCAGTTCTGAGAGGGCGCACTTGGGCGGTCATGCTTTCCATTCGGCTGGCGCGCGCACAGCACCGAGTGGAGCGGGCGCGCTTACCATTTGGCAGGCGTGTGTGCGCTGAGTTGAGGGGACGCGCGCCGTCGTGCGCGCAGTGCTGAGCGGGCGAGGGCGAGTGCGCCTACCATGGATTGAAAACTGCGCACGGCGGAACAGGAGCCGTGGGCCAACTACACGACACACATCCTCCCGGTGGAAATCTGAGAAGATTGCGCTAGCAAAACACCACTTTGCCATGGGGGGGAGGGCTTTGTTCGCTCCCCCCACGCCTCCGGCTGAGGGAAGTCGTATCTTAGGAGGCGCATTCAGCTATTGCCTTTTCGTGTGTATGAATGCTGCAAAAGCCCTTGGAGGCTTCAAGGTGAGATTGGGAAGGTCAACCACGTTACGGAACAAAGCAGGCACAAATTTCTTTTGACCTTCAGCATCTAATTGCTGAATGCTTTCTGCGCTGTAGCCATGTGTTTTGCCATAAGAGATCTATGCTCTTTTGACTTGAAACCTGCTTTGACTCTTAGACAGCTACTTCTACCAAAGGAGACACTCTTTGTGTGTCTTGGGCCGCGTAAAACGGATTGCCCACCTCGAGGCGGCATTGGCCGTTGTTGAATGCATCCTTGCGTTTGCGGTTGTATTGTGTCTCCGCAACGTCGCTCCCGGAAGCTGTCGCTGTTGTCGTCGGAAACCAATGTTCGCCTCCAACGGTAGCTGCATAATCTGCTTCGTTGCGGCAAGCTCTTGTGGCAGTTGCTGTGAGAATCGGATCAATCAGCTCAACTCTTGTTCGCACTGCAGGAGTGTCCCTCGTGTTCTGCCAGTTGTTCTCTTTTGTCTCCCTTGATACTCTCAGGAGGCTTTGACCATACGAGGATGGTGCCAATCTGCATCGCAACTCCCATTCATGATTTAGGCGCTTGGTGTGCTTGGAGGAGGAGACGTTGTAGTTGCGAATGCTCTGCATCGTACCATCTAGGAACTCAAGCTTTCCCTCTCGGCACAGACCTTCGTCTCTCTACTTTCCGCGCGCTGCTTTTTTCATTCTTATGCGATGAATTATTCTTGTTGCGCCATGCGCTTGAGTGTTGCAGTTGGTTCAACGCGAATATCCAATCCATCGGAGGTGTGGCCACTCTTCTTCGTGATGTACCCGTTGAACCGAATCTTGAGGGGTTCGGGCTCGTCTGCTGTCGGACCAACTGCATTCCAACATGCATCCAAGCTGTTACAACATGTCAAGGTCAAATGCAAGCACTCAAGTCAACGGCTGGCCATGCTCAAAACCCGGTGGATCAGGGGGATCTCTCACACCGGTTATTTTTGCTTTGTTTGACCTGAACTGCTATCTGAATCTGCACCTTGCTGCACGTCCAAAGCCACTGCTGCCCGGCGCTGCGCTCGCTGCGCTTGCTTCAACGAGCAGGAGTTGATTGAAGCTATGCCAGCAGCAGGAGGGACAGGTTTTCTGGGTTCGCGGAAGGCTGCGAAGCCCCCTGACGATCTTCCCGCAGCAGATGAGGGAGAGGCAGAAGGGCAGCAGCAGCCGTTTTAGGAGGAGAACCATCTTCAGAGGACTTGAGCGCGAGTTCGACGTCAATGGCACGTATGAGGCTGGAGTCGGAGAGAGATGCAAGGAGAGCAACTAAGTCAAGCGACTTCTTCAAGCGCACGCAAAGAGGAGCAAGCGAGGAAGAAGGTCGCAGTAGCGGAAGCAGTGACGCCAGCGATAAGGCCAAAGGACACCAGCAGGGGAAGAATGGGACCCAGACTTGCACGACTACCACAGCAGACCAACGCGGCAACTTTCGCCGATCGTGGAGGCGGACGCAGAGGCTGCAGAGCGTGTAACCTCTCCGCTGCTTATCCATGGCAGCATAGGCATCGTTGATCTCATCATCCTCTGATGCGCCTTGGTCGGACAACTCCGGCATCTCGGACTCCATCTCGTCCTCCAGCAGGTAGGCTTCCTCTTCCTCGTTATCGAGGCTCATATCCTCAAGCTCTTCACTCTCCACTTCGTCCGCTGCAGCATGAGCGTAGTGCTTCTGCTTCTGATGGTAGTGATTCCTCGGGCGTCCTCCAGTCCACTCGCGACCTTTCTCCCGCTCGTGGATGTCGTAGTAGGACACTCTCAGCGCTTGCTCGATGCCCTCCAGCGTGTAGTTGGACTGATTGGCCAGCAGGATCTGCCTTCTGTCTTCCCGGCTTAGATTCACGTGCTTGAGCAGGAAGTAGGCCCTCAGGTCCTCCGACATCTGTGTTCCATCTGTGATGTCCAGCAAATCTGCCCAATCCTGCCGTCGCTGTCGAAGAAAGGCGTCCGCTGGCTGACCTTTGGTGCGGTCACACTTCTCGAAGAATTGGTCAAAAGCCTCAGTCTTCTTGATCACCGTGACCTTCTCAATGGACTGCAAAGCCCGAAAGATCAGCAGGTAGCCCTTCTCCTTCTTCAGCTCGTCAATGTCGTTCAGCAGTTCTTGGCACGCTCTCCAGGCTTCTCCACGCAGTGCATCCAACAGTTTCCGTGCAAACCTTGATTGCTTCTTCTGCAAGTCTTTTGCCTCCTTCTCGGCCGTGTCCCCGTCGCCTTCCAAAGATGCGTAGGCGAACAAAACACGTCTCCGGCATTCCTTCATCAGCGAAGGTTTTGCTCCAGTATAATGGGGAATGCCGTCTCGATCCACAATGATCTCATCATCTTTGTAAAACGGCTGTCCTCCGTTTCCGGCCTACCAACGCGAAAGCGCGCAGTGGCAGCGATCGCACTGGTTTTCCGCACACACCTCACGAAGGAAAAGGTAAATGTTGTGAAACAAATGAATTCAACTGGCTCTGAATGTCTGTCTGCTCTGCTTTGCCTTGTGTGTCCCGTTGCAAGCATAGGCCGGACTGCCAATGATGGACCGTGCGCTCCATGCGTAGGCCGTCTGCTGTCGGACCAACTGCATTCCAACATGCGTCAAGCTGTTACAACATGTCAAGGTCAAATGCAAGCACTCAGGTCAACGGCTGGCCATGCTCAAAACCCGCTGCATCAGGGGGATCTCTCACACCTTTCATTTAAAACTACTGTGATTTCCTGCGTGTGTTGGGTGACCATGTACTACGGCAACATTGGCTGACGGTAGGCTCACTGGGTTTATCCTGGGTTCTCCGCCCAATATGGTCAGACGTGGTCTAGTGCCCGGCGGCGATGAAAAATATCCAGGCTGCGGTTCAACATTGCCACGAAGACAGCGTTTAGGAAAGTATCCAACTGTCGTTTATGTCCCGAGCAACTCACTGGCGGCGTATGATGCTGGAGTCACCTCCATTGGAACCATCGTGCCATTTTCACTTTTTCCTTTCAAAGGGGTTCATGCAGACCAGATCTGTGAACATGCTGATCATAATGGTCGGCGTCTTTCATAATTGCAGTTTCCAACTCCCCGTTGGACTCAACCTTGGTAGTGACGATCTCACTGCGCCTGCTGTAGAATCAAATCTGAGCTCCTGGTGGAAGTTGGTCGCTTTTGCACTCCCGAGTCTTCATGCGATTTCCTGTGGCCGCAATGCAATCATGCTTCGTCTTGGTGCAATCAGGACCTTCTTCTCGCCTATGATTCCAAATTAGCATCTCAAAATGCCCATGGTGGTAGCCCAGTACGATGTTCTGTTGGTGCTACCTTGGAGACTTGCCCTGATGAAGTATTGGAGCAATCTGACCAACTGGTTGTGATGCCGAACGCGCAACTCTCGAAGAAGTAGTCCGTTTCGTTGAGGCAATTCAAGAAAGGAAGAATTGCGCACAAGATTGTGTGCGTTAGTCCGGCCTCTCATCTTGCGATGTCCCCCCCCCCCCCCCAAATTCACCGTGAGCACATTCAATGACTGTGAGTGGCATCTTGTCTCTGACGTGGACAGTCTTCGCCGATACATGTGCTTGAAGAAAGCAACTGCAAATCTTGACATAGCACATGATCTTGTTGATATCATCGTGATTCGTCAGTTCTCTGATCCCCTTCGGAAGTTTCTTCGGATATCCTGACTGCGGCTGATTCTTCTTGAGCATCTCAGGTGCTGGATTTTCGGGATCATCTTCATAGCACAAGTCTTCCTCGGGGTAGTTCTTTCTTCAATCCACCATCTTCAACGAGACAATCTCAGCTACTGCGAGCAAGTCGGCGAGCAAATTTGGGTCGTCATGGAAACTATCTCCGAGTCTGGCATACATGTCGC